CACCTGCAGGGAAGCAAGGAGGGGGGTTGCCCATCGCCCAGGACCCCCTCGCCACCTGCTGCGTGGCTTCGGGCACCCGAGGGGGGATCATGGAGGAGGGAGCCCTTTGCTAAGCGCAAGCGAGCGTGGCGCAGAATTCGGCCACCAGCTGGGCTTCTCCTGCCAGTGTCACTTTCCGGCTGGCATTGGGGGGGGGGCTTCTAGAGGGGCAGAGCTCCTGGGCCAGGCGAGGCAGTCAGCAATCCTTCAGGGAGCCTGCACAGGCAGACGTCCAACAGGGAGGGAACAGGGAAGCCACCAGACTGCAAGGCCTGGCAAGGAGGACAGAGCCAGACGGGGATTCTCAATCTTCCCTGCCCCCCCCCCGCCCCATAAAAGCTGGCAAGGGTGAGCCCCTCTCCCCACCTTCACCTGCAACAGAGCATCGGCCACCTGGAGAGGCGGAAGAGCCAGGTGGCCTTCGCAGTGCAGGGAGGCAGCCTGCTGAGGGCAAGAAGTGGGGCAGGGCTGGGGGGGTGAGGGGGGGCGAGGGGGGCCCACCCACTTACCCCTCTCACCTTGTTGCTGTGGTCCTGCAGGGGGAGCTTCATGGAGGACAGGAGAAACGGCTTCTTGATCTCCATCTGAGCGGCTGGGCAGAAGCAGAGCAGAAGCTCAAGGCCCAGTTGCTCCCTGCCAGCCACCCGGAGGTCCGCTTTGCCCCCACCTGCCCACCCAGGGCCCATTGCGGGTCCCAATGGGGCCAGCCAGGATCAGAGGCACCTTCGCCCCTCCCTCCTCCTCCTCCTCCTCCTCCTCCTCCAATGCGCCAGGTGTCCCCATCTGCCAGCAAAGCCCCTCTGGTGCCAGGTAGGTCACAAGGCCAAACTCTTCTGCATCGGCTTGACCAGGAGTAGGCAACCTTGGCTCTTGTATGACTCGTGGACTTCAACTCCCAAAATTCCTGAGCCAGCATAGCTCAGCATAGAAGTCCACGAGTCATACAAGAGCCAAGGTTGCCTACCCCTGGGCTTGACCATCAGAACCAGGGCAACGGAGCGCCAGGGAACGATGGGGAGGGCAGGAGGCCTGTCCCCCCACTGGCCAGGGCAGTCGGGGGCAGGGCTTGCAGGCTTGACCCCCCCCAGAAGCCAGAAGAGCAGCCCCTCCCTTGTCCAGCCTTTCCTTCCCCCACCCTCCAAGGCGGAGGCGCGCCCCTCCCCCTCTGCAGTGCCCCCGCTGCCCCCCCATCCCCAGCCAGCTACCCCTCCCCTGCCTTACGGGCGCTGTTGATGATCTGCCGCAGGACGGTCAGCGTCCCCACCCGCGTCTTCTCGTTGCTGGACTCCAGCTTGGGAAGCAGAAATCCCAGCAAGCGGTCAGGGAAGGAAGCGGCTGCAAGAGACGGGAGGGGCCCCCCCAGAGGTCAAGTGGGCCACCAGTGTGAGGAAACCCCCCCTCCCCGTCCCAGGAGGGTCTCTCACCTAAGACGGTGAAGCAGCGAAGGAGCTCGTTGTGGTTCTTCAGAGAGAAGGGCAGGGAAGAGTCCAGAGGGGCGCAGAGCTGCTGGGGGGGGGGGCATTGGAGGAGGAGGGGGAGGGGAAGGAGGAGGGGGGGGAGAAGAGCACCAGCTTCACCAGGTGATGCGCAGCCCACCCAGGCGGTTCCCAGTGGAAAGCTCCGGGACACAAGGAACCAGCCTGCCAACGTCCCACCCCCACCCCACCAAACGCCCAGTGCATGGCCACATGGGGGGGAGCTTGTACCCAGGCGTGGGGCCATCTTGGCCAGGTAGCCCCCCCTTACCTGGAGGTGGAGAGTCCCGAGGAGGAGATCCAGCTGCGTGTCCAGCGTCCGGCTCCCGATATTGACCGAGGCTTCCAGAATCTGGCACAGGCTCTGTTCAAGGGACCGAGTGAGGACGGCTCCCCCCCCGCCCTCTTGCCACAGCAGCCCTGGGGGAGGGTGGGGGGGAGAGCCCACCACCAACACAGACACACACACACACACACACACACACACACGGCTCAAGCGTTTCCTCTTCCCGGATTAACACCCTCCGGAACTTAACAGGTTTCAAGGTTTTAATTTCTCCAGATCAGGTAAACCATGCTCGGATGCAGCCTTATGGGCTTGGCAGGGCAGCTGGTCCTCGACTTACAGCAGTTGAGCCCAACATTTCCGTTGCTAAGTGAGATGGTTGTTGAGTGAGCCTTGCCCTGTTTTGTGGCCTTTCCTGCCAGTGTTTAAGCGAAGCACTGCGGCTGTTGAGTTCGTCACACGGCCGTTAAGTGGGTCCGGCTTCCCCCTCCCGTTGGCCTTGCTTGTCAGGAGGTCGCAAAAGGGGATCGTGTGACCCCAGGGGGACCCTGCAACCATCGCAAGTACATGCCAGTTGCAAAGCCTCTGAATTTTGATGACATGACCAAAAAGGGACGCTGCGATGGTTGCGTGTAAAACAATCGTGTTTTTCAGTTGCAACTTTGAACGGTCACTAAACGAACTGTCGTAAGCCGAGGACTACCTGCACAGGCTTCCAGACAGGGGCGGGGGAGCCCCTCTGCCAATGCGATGGAGCTGCTCGAGGACAAACCTGCCGTCTTGGTGCCCTTCCCCCCCCCACGGGTGAAGGGAGGGAGCCCCCGAGCAGCTACTTCCTCCCAACTTGGGGTCCCGAAAAGGGGTCTTTGCCCGTTTCACACTGCGGCCCCAAAACTCCCGCCTGGGACCGAAGCCCACGCTGTCCACCCGCAAGGGCCCTGCGGCGCAGGAAGCGAAGCAGCTCAGGGAAGGCGAAGGGCCCGGGGGAGGTGCCCCCTCCTCAGACCCTCCGCTCAGGCCGAGGTGGCCCTGCCAGCCGGCCTACCTTGGAGACGTAGTAGGCCTCCGCCGGCTTCCTGTAGAGGGCCAGGATGCCGGGGATCAGGCGAGGGAGCAGCTCCTCCAGCTTCTCGCTGGGCATCAGGTGGCTCATGGGCCCCAGGGCCTCCACCACGGCCAGCCGCACCTGCGGGGACAGGTGGGGGGGTCACCAGGGGGCCCTCTCCGGGATTCGCCCCTCTTGCGCCCTGGGCAGAATCCGGAGAAACCTGTAGCCCTCCCCCCACAGGCGCTGAACTTCGACCCAAGACCCCCATCATCAGACAGCCTTCCTCCTCCTCCTCTTCCTCCTCCCCTTCCTCCTCCCGCCGCACCTTGGTCTCCCGGCTGGGCAGCCAGCAGCTGAAGAGGGCTTCGTAGGCGCTGAAGATTTCACTGGAGAAGGTGTCTCGCCTCACAGTTGGGTCCGGCGCCTTGTCCAGGTTGGCCAGGTACTCCAGGATGCTCTCGCTGAAGTACTGCAAGGCTGTGGGAGGGACGAGACGCCAGAGACCTAGAATCCTAGGGCTGGAAGGGACCTCAGAGATCCTCTAGTCCAGCCCCCAGGGCTCAAGCAGGAGACCCTATACCAGGGGTAGGCAACCTTGGCTCTTTTATGACTTGTGGACTTCAACTCCCAGAATTCCTGAGCCAGCCATGCTGAAGGGAAAGGGAGAGGTTTCCAAGCTGAGCCACGCTGGCTCAGGAATTCTGGGAGTTGAAGTCCACGAGTCATGAGGGGGCCATAGTTCCCCCATACTGGCTGAGGAATTCTGGGAGTTGAAGTCCATGAGTCATGAAGGGGCCATAGTTCTCCCATGCTGGCTGAGGAATTCTGGGAGTTCACCGGTCATAAGAGCCAAGGTTGCCTACCCCTGGCCTACACCATTTCAGACAAATGGCTGTCCAGTCTCTTCTTAAAAACCTCCAGTGTTGGAGCATTCACAACTTCTGGAGGCAGGTTGTTCCACTGGTTAATTGTCCTCACCGTTAGGAAGTTTCTCCTGAGTTCCTGGTTACATCTCCCTCTGAGGAGCTTCCACCTGTTGCTTCCTGTCCTGCCTTCAGGTGCTCTGAGGAAGAGGCCGACACCCCCCCTCTTCTGACAGCCCCTCAAGCATTAGAGGACGGCTCCCACGTTAAGCTTCTCTTTGTGAGGCTCACCAGGCCTAAGTCCCTCAACCGTTCATCCTATGGTTTATCTCCAGACCCTTTATCATCTCCATCGCTCCTTTCTCCTCCACTCTTTCTAGGGTCTCAGCTGCTTCTCCCCCCAGAATCCAGAACGGAGGGGTAAGGAAGGATGACCAGCCCCTTGCCGAAGAGTGCGGTGGGATTCTTCTTCCTGCTCCTTAAAGGCTCGGGTGGAAAGCTCCTCCCGACAACCCAACCCACAAAACTTACCAAGCCACACAGGGGTCCCCCAAAAGCTCAGACCACCCCCAAAGAGCCCAAAGCGCAACGGCCAGAATCACCCTGTCCAACCCAGAAGCCTTGGGGTGCTCTGACTTCCCACCAGGGACCTCTGCAGATGACTCGGGGTGCAGCTGTTGGGCTCAAAGCCTCTTCCAGACCCCATCCAGAGCCCAAGAAGTCCAAAGCAAGAGTTCTCACAGACACACACATACACACACGGAAGGGTTCTATCTGGTGGGCAGCCATTTTTACCAGTTTGGGACAGAGACGAGCGAAAGATGCAGAAAATAGGGAGATCGGTAAAAATCAAACCGCTAAAATGAGCTTCCTGGATCATTTGACAAATAAGCACGAAGGAAGGCACGATTCAACAGCAGGTGACACCTGCATAGGTGGAGCAATGTGCAGGCAGCCGTCTCCTGCTCTGCCGGGGCAGCCCCGCAAACCGTTTGTTCCAGGACTGAACCCCCATGTCCAGCGAGGAGATACCCCCCCCCCGCTGTCTTACCGTAGCAGAAGACGGACTTCGTGTTGTCCTGCTTGGCCAGGGGCAGCAGAGGCAGCATCGTCCCCAGGATGGAGTTGAGGAAGGGGACCATCCCAAATACTTTGAGAGAGAGGAAGGGGAAGAGGGTTGAAACGGAAGCCCCCCCCCCGAGCAGGCACTGCCCCCCCCCCGAGGAACTGGCCCTCCTCTGGTCAGAATGGCAGAGAACAAGCAAAGCCTCAGCTGAAATGTTTATAACGGCATATGGCAGACAATAGGCCAGGGATAGGCAACCTCAGCTCTTTTATGACTGGTGGACTTCAACTCCCAGAATTCCTGGGCCAGCATGGGGGAACTATGGCCCCCTCATGACTCGTGGACTTCAACTCCCAGAATTCCTGAGCCAGCATGGCTCAGCTTGGAAACCTCTCCCTTTCCCCTCAGCGTGGCTGGCTCAGGAATTCTGGGAGTTGAAGTCCACGAGTCATAAAAGAGCCAAGGTTGCCTACTTCTGGCCTAGGCCTAGGCTGCTTTATGACTCGTGGACTTCAACTCCCAGAATTCCTGAGCCAGCATGGGGG